TTATTCTGGTCCTGGCTTTCAAAAATATATAATGTTTGGGGGTTTTTAAGTAATTTTGGGGCTTAAAATGTGGATTATACCATGTAAACAAAAAACAAAAAATAGGCCTTGGTCCTTAAGTGGTTAAGCCGAACCTTCGTCTTATCCTTCAGCTTGCTTCAGCTGCGAGAACCCTTCGGTTCAGCCAAAGTGCTCAGCCAAGCCGAAGCATATGCGTTCGGCTCGGCTGAGTTGAAGACACAGCCGAGGCATTCATTTAAGGACAGTAGCCTGTCATTGTATGACAACAAATGGGTGAAGCCAACCGTGACGTCACGGCTGACTCCTCCCATTTGTTTAAATTCGGCCGACATCTGTCAGAATTTCATTTTGCGACATAAGTTTGTCGCATGGGGTCCAGTTGGCAGGCTTTGGGATTTTTTTTATTTCGACGAGTCATTGTCATGGTTGAGACCGCTAGATGACGTGATTGACCTTGGCTTACCTTGTTGGATCTTTTTTTTTTTCCTTTTTGTTAACCCTTCAGTGAGTGAGTAGGGGTACCCCTTACTCATTCACAAGGGGAGCAGCATCTGGGTACCGGGATGCAAATAAGCCCCCCTGCCCGCAGACCTGGCCCAGTAGTTGTGGGGAAGAGGCCCTTGCCCCATCGGCATGGGGACAAGGTACTTTTCCAGGGAGGACCCCTGAAAAAGCACCCCCCAATGCCAAGGTCATGTGGCCTGGTATGGCGCAGGGTGGGGGGGAAGGGCAAGCTTTCCTGCCCTGCCAGGCCAGTGTTCAGATTAAGGGTCTGGTTTGGAATTTTGCACTTTTTTTTATTTTTAACTCTCTCCTAACTTTCCTATGAATGAGAAGGGGGACCCCACAGTTTTTTTTGTTGTTCTTTTTCTCAAATTTTTGTTTGTGTTCTTCACAACATGATGAGCATGTTTGGCTGTACTGAAGTGAGCGGAAGCCGGCCGATGCATGGCTAAAAACAGGGTTCGGCTCACTTCAGCTCAGTTATACACTCAGCTGCCTTGCGCAGCTGAGTGAATAACCCACCATGGGGGGAATTTAGCATAACGGGAGCAGATAGAATCTGGAACAGTTTCTTATGGCAACCAATCAGCTTCTCTCTTCAATTTGTTCAGTTAAGATTTGAAAGTGAAAAAGAGAAGCTGATTGGTTGCCATACACACCTGCGCCAGATTGTATCTGCTCCAGTTTTGATAAATTCCCCGCTTTATATCTATATAAAATAATTAAAAAAACATTCTTCAAGCTCCAAGAATAGGTCTATATAATTATTTTCCAGAACATCTAATCCCACTGGTTCAATTGTTGTTTATCCTTATATAAGATGTCAGGTTATGTGGTCCATTCTAGATGTCAGGTTATGTGGTCCATTCTAGATGTCAGGTTATATGGTCCATTCTAGTCACCGCCACCATGTACAGGACATTTCCCTGAGGTGTGTTGCCTCACTCCAAACTTCTACAGTCTCCATATACAAGCAATTCAACTAAAAAAATGGAATCCAGTACCATCACTCTCCTTTATTAAATGCAACAAATAGCCATGTTCCTGGGTTACAATATACCTTGGAAAGTTTTTACCAGTCCACAGAAATCAATCACATATTTACTTTTGCACCTGATCCTAATTAGATTACTGGCCATTGCATTTGTATCCTCTAGTTACAAATATCGACAGTTCAACTCAAATTTCCTGGTACAAAGGGTACACACAACCATAGCAGCAATATGTCCATGAAGGAACGGAAGCTTGACTTACCACACCTTACCCTAATGTGTCCTCTTTCCAGGACTTCCTCTAGAAGTGTGGCTAAGACCATCACATTGGTCCTATAAAGGGACCTATAAAGTCCTATAAAATGTTCCATATAACAGAATTCTTGTGTGGATTGGTAATGTTCCAAAATGAAGGTTTAAGACCACAATTGCGAAGGCAGGTACATAAACTCGCAATTCCCACAAACAATCTTATAAACATTCCTATCGTCAATGGTATATGGCCCAAAAATCACAATATACAACTGAAATTAATGGCGTCATTATTGCTTGGCTCTTCATATGATTTTAGTTGGTGTATCTGCCTGCATTCTATTTACAAAAGGGTCTTGTTTCAGGACTCACCCCGTTTACAGTTTATGCAATCTAGTACAAAAAAAGGGGAGTTTATCAAACGTTCTATTGCAAGACATCAAACTTTCAGACAATCAGACAATCAATCTTTTCAGCTTGTCCCTTGCACTGCAGCACACTTGATTGGAAGGGACTGGACTGCTAGTAAGAGGCTAATAACAGGTAATATTTAGACAACTGCTTGCATTTAAAAAAATACTCTTAATGATGTATCAGTGTTTACAGAACTGTATTAATCTGTGCTTTTTATATCAGCCTGGATTAATGACTTTTTTCCTGTGTACTGTATAACAATAACTCGAAACAGCACGTCTTACTAAACTTTACATAAGATTACAGTCCCTGCTGAATCCTATTTGCTGAAATGCAGAACTGATTATTATGCTATATAAATAGCATGCATAGCACTTCTGGACACAAGAGCGGGACTTCAAGGCTCTAGGCCATGGATGTCGGCGTAATGACCTGTCTCAGCAGTTACGTGCTGTCTTGTGAATACTGACATAGCCTTATTTCTGATCATTTTACATGCTTATCCTCAGGCGTGATGTGTAACAATATCATCTTCCACTGCTATATGCTATACCCTGATTCTGCAGAGTTTTTAGGACATACTAAAATATTTACAAAAAGCAAGATTACAGACTAAATGCTTGCTGCACCTTACTGCTTGTATTCTGTTTTTCACATATTCATTAGCAGCAGCATCATACACATCATCTCCATTTACTTTTTAATAGGTACAATCATTTATTAATTTAATTATTTTCTTACTATTCTTGCGTGTATGTTACTTTTACAGTACAGTTTTTTATGCTGAATATTTGAGTACAGTGTCTTTCAAATATATGATTCATGATAACTAATGAAGTACATTTCTATAGTAATATAGAAGGCAAGAAAACTAAGAAGTTATGGAAACCTTATTTGTTTAATGACCTCATCCAGGATCCTCGACAATCCTGGAATGTAAACACCAGTTCCAGGGTACCTGGCTGATGTAATTGACCAAAAAGAGTCCATAATATATTTGTTTCAATGATGGCAGCCAGATTTCCACTGCTGCTGTTTACTTTCCAGCAGCTCCATGAGATGTCCATTGTGACACATAACCAACAGATGCAGGATCGTTGTAAATGGTCATCATATTTTTGGTGGAGGTGTCTGTGTATTTATTAACTTTAAAAAATGTTTGTGTATGAGTAACCAGGGGTACTATGCATGTCATGTGGGGAAGGGGTGGATATCTGTGGGGAAGGGGTGGATATCTGTGGGGAAGGGGTGGATATCTGTGGGTCCCTTTATCTTAAAGGTGGTTTCCAAATGCCAATAAGTCCCTGGGTTTGACATGTATGTTGGTGAAGAATACTTTTGCTGTAGTACATTCTACAGGTACGCCACTTCACATGCAGGCTTCAGGGCATCACTCAAGCATGTTATTTGAAGGAATTTTTATTTTTAAAGTATCACTTTAATCCTTATTAAAAGAACTGCTCCCTGTTAACCAGTAATTTAAAAAATTATTTGCCTCTTTGGTAGAATGTGTCCTTTATAAGTTACTTCTGGATAGCCTATCTTCATGCTCCTTGAAATAGTATTGACATTTTCTGAACAAGCAATAAACACACGATAAAACAGGCCATAGTTTACCTCTGTAGCTATAGTCATTGTGGTGACATTCATTTTCAACATTCACAATAGAGGCTCTGAAATCTTAGCCAGGGATGGCTTGTTTTAAAGCCCGTTTAAGGGCTTTCGTTTATTTCACAAGCAAAACAAGCCCAAACAAGCCATTCAATGTACGTGAATGCTCCTTTTGCTAATATGGTTACCTTTCTATGAAACTCTCCCCAAATGACCTTACAGTGTACACAATTAGTAATAAAAGAGGAATAAAAGGAGGTATGTCATCAAGTGCTTCTTGTAAGATTTTACCTTTCCACCAACATTGCAACCACATTGCAACCACCAACAAATAACTGTTGGACTTTCAATGTTTGTCTCCTACTTTTCACATTGTTCTTCTTAGTCTCACCCCTCACCATTCCAATCAAAACCATAAATTGTATAGAATTTGAAGATAATACTGACCTATTACAACCTATTCTGCTTTTGTTCACAACAGAAACACCGTCCATAAAAAGATACTAGTGGAGGTAAAGAAGATGATAAACTAAGGGAAGAGGCCTGAGTGGTGCCCTAGCTCAAAATCAAAGTGTCAGATTTATAGTTTTTGCTGCAAGGTTAAACAAGGTAAGTAGCATGGAGTCAATTAATTAGTACTTTGGAATAAATTTGGAAAAGCAACCCTATCTTGCCGCCACTGTTGAAATGCATACTACTCTTAGCATGACATTTCCTATGCCCTCAACATTTTAGTGGGGGTGGATGTGGAACTAAGATGTTGCTAATCAGTGTCACTTGACTGCCGAAGTTCTTCATAGATGATGATGATGATGATTATGACATTATTTCAAATAAATATTAATACAAACAACACCATCTTTAAAAACACATACACAAAAAAGAAAAACAAGTTTTAATGACTTTCTCTATCACATGTTGAGATCTGATTGTATAGTTTATATATTGTAAGGATCTGGCTGGTCATAAATAAACTGAAAAGATTACATAGATAGGTTCCCATAACATGTGGTCAGTTTAACTTAATCCTAAATATTGGCATCCATGTCTTATTAACGCCCCATACAGAGCAAGACTGAATAGTACTTTGCTATTCTCTTACCCTATATGGCTATCTATGGGTTTTTTTCCACCTATTTATTTCTGTAATTTATGTTCATTATAATATGTTTACTGTATTTTGTCTTTTATATACTCAGATCTCACCTCCAAATGCAGGTCTCATAGAGAAGTCATGTTCGTTCACTCTGAGAAGCTGGTCATTTTTACTTCTTCGAAGTTTTGTGATATCATGGTTCTTTTTATATACATGGCTGCAAATACAAAGCATGGATAATTTAGATCATATGGAAACAACTGAAATACATACCCATTGCATCAAACAGTCAAGCTGACATGGCAAATCATTTAATTTGTAATAAAAATGCAATAATTTGTTTGGTGAACAGTATCTACAGATTTTAACAAATTTTTTGGTACTCAAAGCGTTCATTTTTAAAACATTTGTTTTGCACGCACCACCATTCACCCCTTAAAGCTACAAGCCTGACACACCAGGCTCAAACCTGTATATTTATGGCATAAGGGAAATAGATGTTTGGACCTATGCAATGCAAAGCACTGAGGCCCAGCACAGAGGGTTCTAGAATTTTTGCACCCCAAGGCCTAGGGAGGCTATTTTGTACCAAAGGTTTTCACCCCCTCCATAGCGAACTTTTGACCAGTGGAGCTCCTTCCCAGGAAAAACTGATATTTGTTTTCAGTCATAGGCCATGGCACTGCATTACCATGACAATTGGCACAATGCACTTGGCCCGCAGCAAGATGGTAATTTCAAATGTGTGAGATTATGATGCGCAGTCAGGGGGCTTTGTGTAGAATGTCTGCTGCATGCCACAGATGTCACAAAGAAGTTAGCGGCACTCAGCAGAAATCACTGGAAAATTTGGGGCACAGAGGTTTCTGGGGCCCCACAGCATTGACAAAACAATAAGGGATTAAAGTAAGACATACCCTTTATTGAGGTTAAGAAAAAAAAGGAGTCAGGGTTGATTTAAAAAATGCAAACAGCCTGTTCACTTTGCAGGGGAATTTTCCGTTAGTTTGGTGAATGAGGTAAAGCTCTACTGACTTCCATCATCCAATCATGTGTCAGAAAAAAAATCATTTTTTATTTATTTTACTTGCTCGTGATTGGGTAGTCTTTGCAAAATTAATTTTCATCACATTCACTAAGCTAAGAAAAATTATGTTGCAAACTGCAATTTCCTTTGCACACTAAACAGCCTAAATCAGCGTTTCTCAACCTTTTTTCAGTCACAGCATACTTTAAAAGTATGCAAAAATCTTAAGGCATCGTAGTCAAAATGTAAAAATATAAATGTTAAAATGTTCCTTCCAAAATCTATACCAGACCCTTATCCTAGATAGGGGTCTGGTATGAAGTTTAAGGGGGGCCCCACGCAAAAAAAAACTGGAGTTCCGTCCTTCACATCCAGAGCACCCCCTTTTAACATCAGAAGCCCCCCCTCCAATCAGGAGCCCCCTTCCTATCGGAAAACCCCCTTTCACATTAAAAGCCCCCAAAGATGCTGGATGCAGCCCGCTCTGGATTAGTATAATTGTGTTTCCATGGTCGTGGTGGTGGGCCCATCTGCAACATGGATGACTGTGTGAAAATTGGAGGGCATCCCTAACAAAGCCAGAAGGCACCCAAGAGTGCACCCTTGTTGAGAATGGCTGGCCTAAATCAACCCCAAGTCTCTTTATTAAAAGAGGGGACAAGAGTTCCCAGCAAGAAAGACACTTCTCAAAACCATGAACAAACTACATAAAACAAAGTGCTGTGTTCCTTTGAGACACAATTCCTGTTTCCAAAACAAAATGCATAATAATAAAGAAACTGAAAACCAGATGAATAGCACTCAAGCAAATTTCTTATTAATATCTGAAAAAACACTATAAATATTTAAAGTGCACTTAATAGCCACAAGAAATAGACTTCAGCTTCCTCCTTTAATGGGTCTAGTTACTTGTTGCAATGTAACAAAAACAGGAAACTTTTTAACAAACTAGCTAAAAATTAGATTCTATGTAACTCATGAAAAGGCCTGCGAGATTCTGTCATATTGCATCTTAATCTTATCATCCAAACTGGCTTCATACTGCAGACAGAGACTAGGCAAAACAGCCCTTCATACAAGTAAGAAACTAGAGAGTCAGATTAAGCCATTTCGATATCAGGACTCAAATAACACTTGATATCTGAGTGGCCTTTTTTTTCAAACCCTTTTAATATAGTTTTGAATGCTACATGGAGAGTGTAATACTTTTTCAGCACGTGCACCATGCAACAGCAAATGCGAAGTTCAACATACTAGTCTATTTCAGGAACAAAACCATACAGTCATTAGATATAAACTCGACTTGATGTGTGTCTAATCCTGGATTTTTTATCTTTTTTATCCATGGGGATGATTTTTACTGCTGAGCGCATAGATATATCTTGTTCGAAAAGTTTTCATTCAGTATAATGTCCACAGATCTCCACATGTGAAATGATTCAAAACAGTGAGAAACCAGCTCTCAAGTATATAGGTATACAAACCATAAAGTTCACTTAACTTTAGTGATAATCCAGAGTCTCTACATGCATGCTGGTTATGCTGTGACTCTCAAGATGTTCTGTTCATGAGTTGTGCAATACGAAACTACAGCAAAGTCCATCAATGAAAAGTTATGTAAACTTATATAGGTGGCATGTTATGCTGTCTGGTCTCCATGCACAAGGGGTGTGATGAATGCATCAAGCATTGACACATTTCACCTTGATGGTGTTGCTTCATCAGCTGGGCATGTGCCAAACTTCATCTTATACTGGCAAGTTGCAGTCACACAAAACTACCTCATTTATTTATCTATTCTCATGTACAGTTAAAAAAAAAAAACCCTTTTGTCATCTACATAGCAGGACATAGTTACCGTATTAAAAAATGATAACTTGTGGAACCCTAACCAGGGAGATATAACATGAAACATTAAAGGCTGCAAAGAAGAAGATGGAAAGGGGAAAAAAAAACCTTTCCTATACAAAAATGGCAGCTAGGTACCACATTTCTCACAGGAAAACTCCTAGTTTCATTTTCTGGTTGAAACCCTGTGGTGCCAAAGTAGCATATACTGTGTATATATCTTGTCATTTTCTTTTTTATCTAGTTTTTTGAAGGACTACAGCAAAGTCCATCAATGAACAGTTATGTAAACTGATATGGGTAGTTTGTTATGCTTTCCAGTCTCCACGGAGAACAAGGGGTGTGAGGAATGGATCATCAGTACAGTTTATGGTCTGCAACCTATCATTACCAATACTGCTATTTTTACTGATATGATATATTATATGCCATGTCAATCTGTTTCCCAGTACTTAAAGAACAGCTCCAGACAAACGACCCTTTGCAGTGGGGCTACCCCTGCACTGCAAGGGTTAAGTAATTGTTTTGGAATATCGCGCAACGTCCTCACGTCTGATCTACTGGATTAGATAATTAGTGCACTTAGATAATGAAATTCATTAGTGCAATTTGAAGTATAATCCATTGCCAACTACTATAGTGGATGAATTAAGCGGGTTATTCACAAAGCTGTTGAAGGCAGCCGCGTGAATAACCGAGGCGAAGTGAAGTGAGCCGAACGCCGTTTGGCTACTCACTTCAGCCCCGTACATCGGCTAAAATCAGCCGTACATCGGCTGCCTTTGGCTTCCTTCTGTCAGCAGAACATGCTCTGCATTTTCAGCTGAGCCGATGTGCAGAAGCCGTTCGACTCAGCCGATTCAACATCTGAATTGGTTGAGTCAAAGCTCAAGCAGTTCCTCGCTGCCGCTTGCCCCTATTCTCATAGGGGCCAAACGGCAGTGAGTAAAAAGTCGAAAGCCGCCGAGCGGCATTCAGCTTGGATATTTTGCTTGTTACCTCATATATCTGTCCGTTTACATCAGGCAATGGCTTTATTGTGCAGTATTTCAAAGCAGATACAGATAGTGGCCATAGGAGTGGCATGCACACGGGCCCATACCTGCCTGTATTGGTAGATTAGAGAAGCACACAATTATTGTAATTTACAAATTGTACATCAAAATGTTCAATGGGGTTGAATTACTAAATAGGCTGTTCACTTTGCAAGGGGATTTTCCCTTAGTTAGTGAATGTGGTGAAAATTCACTTTGCAAAGAATACCCAATCATGATCAAAGGGAAAAAACATTATTTTGCTTGCACATGATTGGATGATGGAAGTGCAAATTCCCTTGAATAGTGAACAGCCAATTTGCCTTTAGTAAATTAACCTTGATGTGTTTCATTCTCCCTATGACCTGTTAAGTTTAGTGCTTGTTTGTGTCTAAGTGCTAAAATAACAAAGATATACTCACCTGAAGCTCAGAGCCGGCCAGCTGTCACGTTGCTCCCTCCAGTCTGTCTCACCCTCCAGCATTGTAATCTTCCCCAGGGTCCTCATGCATATACACAATGTAAAGAAGTGATTTATGGGACCTTAGACAGCTGCAGAGTAGGGGGAGAGACGATGGAAGGACCGGTCTAAGAAGAAGCCGGTTTGTAGCACCGGGTGAGTAAAACTTTGTTTTTTAAACCTAAAACCAAACAAGCAGTTAACCCTTGCAGTGCGGTGGTTAATAAAAAAATTAGTTGAGTTCTTTTTTAAAACTAAATGCTATTTAAATAGAAGGATTGGACAGTGTTATCATAAAATCTCTCCATGAAAAATGGGAAGATGTATTGAGTAGTAAGATTAATGATGATAGGGAAAAAGGAGATAAAAGTAGAATAGTGACTCCCTGTGGTTCACATTGAAGAAGTTTGAAATAAATTATCATCAAACATTGGCATATGTTTGCAGCTCAATCTGTCAGTGGCTGAAATAGTGGATCCCGATCGCTAATTACAGCAAAAAGAGAACAGAACATATAAACCATGCTGGTGTCCATCGAATATTCCAAGACACATTGGAGAAAAATGGGACAAGGTACAAAGCGAGGCACATTTAAATGTGTGTGCGGGGGAGTGCCTGTTATGTAGGCATGTGGAAGTGAGCAGTACTTTCACAAACTCTAATGGTACTCAATAATTTAAAAATCAAACCTTCCTGAATTGGCAGCTATTAAAAGTGATCTATCAGCTTATTTGCCACTGTAATCATATTTAAGTTGGAGAAACCAAACGTGAATGTAGGATTAGAATGTCCAAATATATAAGAGATATTATGACAAAGAACAAAACAATCCAGGTAGCAAAACACTTCTTGGAATCACAATTCATCACCAAAGGGGTTAGGAGTAAAAGCTGTAGACCAGCTGGAGATAAGTACACATAGGGGAGACTTTGACCAAGTCCAACTTCAGAAAGATAATGTATATATATTTATACTACTTTACCACCACAGGGTTTGAACCAGGAATTAAAACTAGTAGTGGTACCTAGCTGCAAATTCTGTATCTGAAAAGGGTGTTTTTTCCCTTTCCAACCTTTTTTGCAGCCTTTTAATGCTTGTTGTTATATCTCCCTGAGAAAGGTTCCACAACTTATAATTTTTTGATACAATACATTGGCAACTACACTAAGTAGCTTACCAGGTGCATCGACTCTGATTTGCAACTGGTTTGTTACCAAGTTTCCTGTGTTTGTTATATTGCAAGAAGTAACCCATTGACATTCTGGGCAGCAAGCTGAATTCAAATGGCAGCACAAATGATCAGGGGAATATTTTAATGACATATCTGTCCTTTTTAATTTGCACATGTTGTGAAAAGGTATATTTCTTGTGACTTTCAGCTGCCTTTATAAATATTTATAGTGTATTTCAGATATTATTAAATAAATAATTAATTTTTTCAGTTCTTCCTTAAATTTTTTGCATGTATACCAACATTTCAGATATTTGTTCTTATTTACTGATTAATACTAGAAAAATGAAAGCTATGTGATTATTTGCTATATGCAGCCTATGCTGTTTACCTTTTTTCTTATTTTATTTAATTCTTTATTTAACAATGTTTACAAATTAAAGAAAAAAGATTTAAAAAAGACATCAACATAAACCACCTGAGAAGACAACTCAATACAAAAACTTGTCTATTACCAAGGCATTTGTGGAAAGAAAAAACACAAAAAGAATAATCTAAGCACTCATGTATCCTGGGCCCCATGAAGAAAGTACCGAAACACAGTGATCCTCCCGTTGCCCCGCAGGTTCATTGCATTCCCATGCCCTATTTTCATTTAGGTTTCGGGTACCGACTCCTACTAGTTCACGCTTGGACTTACAACTTTACTGGGAATTTTATGTTTTCTAGGGGTTTTTTATGTTGATATGTGTGGAGGCACATAGCTATTTGCCTGTTTGTTTGATGTATTTCCCTTTTAGGATCTACAACATAATAAGACATAATGCTAGTACCTGTCTTATGAATGTTGGATGTTTGTTGTATGCGTATTTTGTCTTTGATCAACATCTGTAACCTTGCTGACTGCATTCTACTGTATGTTACTATTGTAACACTTTAATAAATCCTTATTGAAAAAAAAGCACTCATGTATCCTATACTAAGGGGTCTATTCACAAAAGGGTGCAGAGTTTGGAGAAGGCAGGAGAAGGGAACAATCTAGGACAACATAGCTGAACTGGAAAGTGATCTGAATTGGAGAATCTTTCCAAATCGCCTATTTTGGCCTAGATTTTTCACTTCTCCTGCCTTCTCCAAGCTCTTCACCCTTTTGTGAATAGACCTGTAAATAATACCAACTAAAACAATTACCAACAAACAACTTTTTTCTTTTTAATACATGATGAATAGTACTGTCAGTATTTGTATGTGTTGTCAGTCTTGCATAGCAGCCTTACAGTGTGCTTACATCACATTAGATCATTTATGGGGAGCATTGAAAAAAATGGCTTCCTACACAGCATTAGGGAAGCTTTATTCATTCCTATCTTTATATTCTTTATATCATTCCTAGATGGTGGTATTATTGAACTTTCCAATTATTTACCAGTCCTTATTGCACTCATCAGACCATGGACATCATGATTGTTGGAGACATACATAAGAGCATCCTTAGGAGAAAAAAATGTTCCGTTTTGAGGCTAATATATGCATAATCCATTTTTGCTTCTAGATCAGCTTTAACAAATAATGTAAAGGGACACTTTTGTGTATAATGACATAACCAGAGGGCACAAAGACTCCTAACAGATTGTGTGAATGGTTTAAAAGATTTACTTTATGATGTAACACCGAGAACTCCAAATCAGTAAATAGTAATCACATCCTCCGATTCCATAATAATACTTTTCTGCCTCCAAAGAAGGTAGTCATTCCAGCAATGTCAAACTGTCGCAAAAGCCAATATGTATTTAATGCAATTGAAATTACCTTTTCTAATCTATCTGCAGCCGTCCAAAACTTTTGTTAACTGCCAAAGTTTGTAGTCAGAATTTTACAGAAATCCTTCCCCTACTTGTTGTCATTAGCTCCTGTTCTCTGTCACAGAACAATGTAGACATCTTAGGATCTCCTTAGGTTCGAATGGGTCCCAGAGTAGTAAAACACATTGATAGGAAAGCTTTGCTGTAATGGCAGATAGCTCATTAATAGAATACTTCCGAATAGTTACTTCACCTAAGGAGATGCTAGGAGTACAATATTTCATACAATACCAACACTAAGAAATAATTTATAAAAATACTACTTGGCACACATTTCAGATTTTAGCAACTGGGCACATCATTCGGAGCAGAAGAAAAAGAGACAATATGAAGATATGTTTATATCCTTTCAATAATTTGATATGCTGACCTGTAAATTTTGCAGAGCAACCACTTTTTTTGTGGATTTGCCTCCATTAAAATAGTAAGGGTTGATTAGCTCTCTGGGAATGTTTACACATACAGTGAGTATGTAAATATACAGTATGTGTGTGTGTGTGTGTGTGTGTGTGTGTGTGTATATATATATATATATATATATATATATTTATATGCATTTTCACGCACACACACATAATATGTACACATGAAAGGTATTCACATGTCTTATACTTGAATGTAGTTTTAGTGGTCCTTCATTTTAATGTACAAAATCCATCCAAAGGCAAAAAGCCTCAACTTCACTACAGCTGCATTTTTCATATTATTCTCAAAAAAAATGCTCCAAGCCTTCCAACTTACAGTCTAAGGAAGCTCGTTAGCTGACCATAAAGCAGTCACATGGCTCATTCAGCAGAACATTACAAAATGCCCAGCATAAAGTAACCCATAACAGCTAGAGTTCAGTTTACCAACGTACAAATACAAAATACAAAGGTACAATCAGATTGGTTTTGTAGCTTTCATCTTGTTAACCAGGGTCTAATATGTCTTTTACATAAACCACCTTCGTGTATAGCTTATATCTTAGTATGTCTTTCATATTTCGTTCAACATGTGAACTATGCATAAACTAAAAAAGAATGATAAATTATGGCAAATAACTGATAAGTTACTATTGTTGTCTTGATCCTTACAGTAACTTTACACCCAGCAATTTTCTGATTCTTTTTTTTTTTTGGTCACAGTTGTCCAATATGTAAAAAATATCAAATTCATAAATCTTCTGTACAGTGATAAAAGAGATCATTTTAAAACATCTTATACTAGATTTGTGGTTTTGAAAACAATACAAACACAATGCACAAGGTCCTCTGGATTGAAATGTCTGGCTTCTAATCTTGTTAAGTAAATTGTAATGGGTACTCCATATCAGTGGATTACAAAGTTCAGCATAAACAAAGCATCAGCGTGCCTAACAGTATATGTAGCCAATAACTTTAATGCCCTTTGTAATTAAACTACTACTTTTTATAATGTTATACTGAATAAGGGTTTTTTGAGGTTATATGATTTTAACACACTTTAAATTATTAGGTAGATAAAGTACAGAAATTATTATTAAATTCCTGTTTAGAAGGTTTCACATCTGTCGGGTTCAGCTTTTACTATCCTAAACAGCTTCAAAGGAGAATTTAAAGGAAAGCATATAATTTATTTAAAATCCTCAGTTACATGCATAGCATTTGAACTGAAAAAAATGAAACAAATGAAATGGAAATCACTGCAAATGGAAAGATGTAAGTACAAGTATAGTACTTCCTACATCAATCGAACACATCTGGCACAATGAGATCCTTCATAATACAATCCAACTATAAAATAAAAGGAGGATACAGGTGTACCAACACTTACCTGGCCTGTTTGGGCATTTCTCCCTGATTTGTCCATCTCTTTCTCCGATGCTTTTTACTTTCTGTGAGAAGAACGAGGCAGAAGATGAGCAGAAGGAATTTGAATGAATGAGGCATTTTCAGCACAGTGGTTAGACTAGGATCTGCTCTGCAGTTTCTCCCAGCAGTAGCAATGCTTAGTGGTGCACACATTGAGTCAGCTGTTTGTCCTAGGAATCATACTGGTCAGACAGATCAGTGTGCAGGCTGTGCATCTGACTCCTATAAACCCTTCAGATCACAGACCTTCCTCTACATGAATGATGGGCACTGGCCATTTCTGAGGGCTATCAGAAGTTGGCTGTGCTATGCCACATATCCCCTGGGGTCCTAGGGCAGAGATTTCACTAAACCCCTTACATAATAGGCATGTGGTTCAGAATGCAATTACGGACACTCTGTATGATTCATCAGAGCTCTAATCTGGGTTAGATTTTCATGGCAGACGATGGAATCTTTACAAGTACCTCTGAACGCTGCGTTACAAATGTTATTTTTAACATCCTAGCTAATGACTGGGTGCAAATAATGAAAAACGCTGGCATTGAGCAGAAAATTCACAGTGTCCAGACCTTGTAGTAAATACCACAATGTCACTTTTTTTTTTCTTCTGTAGCAGTACTGCATCAGTCACAAGAAATACAGAACAGAATACAGAACATACTTTTAGCATGTAAGAAGTAATAAAGAAAACCAGACACATATCAATTATTAAAATTCAGTAAGGGAAATTTTGCTGAGGATTGATTTTCGAAAACTGGTCAACTCAATATCGCATACAGTACATTGTCTACATTGTTTTAATGTCAAATGGTATGATTTGTCAATGTCAAAAGGATATTGATCTAACAGAATCAAATGTGCAATGAGTGACATGAGGTTGTTTCGATTAGGTTATACATCATACATGACAAGAGTTAGAGTGAGAAAAATAAAGAATAATGAATAGAATTGAGACTCAATTTGAGATCAAGCATGATGTCACGTCAAATCAATATAAATACAACAATTACATTTTTACATAGTAACATACAGACAGGGTGCTGAAATCATAGCAGGAGTATAGCAAGATTCCAAATTATTATTTTTTAGTCAGTTTACTATAATCTTTCTTCTGAAACCATCCCACATTGTGAAACTTTTAAAATTAAATTCCCATTAAGATGATTCATTATGAAATGGGATTATTATGAGAATGATATTATTATTAATAATAATATTATTTAGATCAGGTGTGATCTTTCTTCTGGTCTAATATGCTGCCTTTTAAAAATGTTAATTTTGTACAGGATAACCCATTAGCCCCACATTAAATGGAAACTATAATGATTTTGGCCATTTTTTAAATGTTTGCACATTAACTGATGTGTTATCTTAACTAGTACTATTCCCATAAAATCTTTATAGAAATCTTAAATAAACTGGTTTCAGATTGACTGTCTCTAAAGTAAACTCTGTATGGGGGTTCAGGGAGGAGCGAATTCCTGTGACTCATCAGCTGTTTGTGGAGTCAAATATGTAAGCAACAGTTTTTTTGTATTTTTTTTAACAGAGCAGTTAATGTTAGTCTGGTAAATGTAAAAAGGTATAGCTCAAGGCATCAGTGGTAACCCAACAGTGCCAAACCTCATCATATATAAACTGTATATCGCACACACCAAAAAGGTAGTGGGTTTTTTGAAGGCACTAAACCACACAATTGTAAAATTCAACATTTTATTACTTTTACAATTTTTCACTAAATTTTGGGGTTTGATAAGGAGTTGCGCTAATATCGTGCAACATAAAAATTTGCAACTGCCACCATTTTATTCTATATAGTGAGTGAATAGCCGAATGCCGCTGAGCGGGATTTGGCTCGGCTGTTCTGCTCGGTCCCTCATAGGGACCGAGTAGAACAAAAAAATAGTTTAAAAAGTTAAAAAAAAAATTGAAAACGATTGTGCGGAGCTAGCAATGACAGCTAGCTCCGCCCAACAGTTTTCTATTGTCCGGGGGTTCTGCTGCCGTCAAAAAAAAAGAAAAAAATCTCTCCCGGGCGCTCTGGGAGCCTCCCACTCCTGGCCGCCAAGGAGAGAAACACTGCTATTTCTGTTAGCTTGTAACTAGGGACGCTGATCTCTCTGCAAGTGGCCGGAGCCAGCCGTAAGATCACGGCTGGCTCCGCCAAGCTGTCAGAAGCAGGCTGTCAGCCGGTCGCTCGGCCAGCTTCGGCTTTCAGCAAGGCTCAGCCGAGCCGAGGCATATGCCTTCGGCTCGACTGAGCCACTCGGCTAAGTTTGGGAGCTGTACGGGCTATTGTGAATAGCCTGTACAGCAGCCCTTCAGTTATACTGAACCGAAGGGGTCCTGAGGCCGAAGCTAGCCGAAGGATTGGCCGCAGCTAGGGCTAGATCCTTCGGCTGCTTCGTGAACAGACCCCATAATGTTTGGGGGTTTTAAGTAATTTTCAGGCCGAAAATGTGGAATATAACATGGGTGCAAAAAATTAAAAAAAGGCCTTAGTCATGAAGGGATTAAGGTTTGAAAATGCAAAACAGACAAAGATTTTACCTGTTGTAATATACAATATGTTTCTATTTATCTTAAAATTAGATTAAAGCAAGCCTTATAAAGAAACAATAATATTGAGTATTTTCAACAAAGAACCAGTAATTTGATATGCATTGATTATAACAACTTGCATATCACATTATTTATTCTTTCAAGCAGAAGTGAAGCTGTAAAATATTAAAATGAAAAACTATATTGGCTGTAATGCCATGGCACATATTATCTATTAGCCGTCCATTCAGGATGGAATCAGAACTAGAATTCCAAAGACATTAGTTCTGATCAGATCTCTTCCCAAATCGTCTCTCCCTAACATTTTATTGTTATAGTTTTAGTCATCATAACTTAGTTTTTATTTAGTTTTATTCACTCAAAAAGTGCTGTTGACAAAAACTATGACGGAAAATATTTTTATAAGACAGGTCCACAGATTCCAGCCCTGCCCATTGGGGACTCCTAACAGACAGGCGTCAGGTAAGTAACAGAATGCAAATCATAAAGCAAAGGTATAGTTTGAACTAGACAGAAGGCAGGAGAGGTAATACACAATTAAAATCGTAAAATAAGTAAAAAGACAGGAATAGCCGGGAGCCATGGTCCAAACTAAGCTGCAACATAACATTAAGCTTTAACGAAAAGCAGCAGACCCTGTGTTGGTGCAGTGAGCCATATTCAAAACTAGGGCATCACAGGTCAGCTGCAGTGTGCTAATGCCTAAGTAACATATCTGTCAGTACCTAGGAAATATGTGACCATCTGCGATGGGGACAGACTAGTGGTGAGTCGGTTTGATGTTGGAGGGCTCTGGAAGGTGAGCAGCTGTCGCTGGCTCATTACACGATGAGCATTGTTGAAGACTTTGTTGAAGTTTTAAACATTGAAGTTAGTAGTAATGATAACACATATATTCTGTCATTATTTATAATGTACAAAGAATGTAATGAATGACTCTTTATAGCAGTTGACAGAGTTTATTAGTTTACCCACCCCAAAGTTATATATTTATTCCTATCAATCTAAGCAATCGTGTTAATAATAGAGTTATAAAGAGTGTATTCATTCAAAATAGAGTTACAATTGCTAGATTCAGTTAATTGGAATGTGTGGATTTAAAAAAAATCAATGCACCATAAATAGAAACGTCTTTCAATTGTCAGCTAGAACATGAAATGAGCTGCCAAAATTAACAACTGTTGTGAGAGGACACTTGAAACTGAAAAGTACTTGGCATATTATTAGTGTGCCTGAGAATAGAAACAAACCACTTCATTACAAAAGTTACAAATATAACTCTATAAAAAAACCTCTCTCCAGCTCAAGCCGATGATATGTAATGTGCTGACATGTCTCTTTTACATGATTTGGTTTTGTCCTCTTAGGCGGAGCCATTAAAGACTCTTACAGGGCTATTCACAAAAGGGTGAAGAGTTTGGGGAAGGCAGGAGCAGTGAACAATGTAGGACAACATAGCTGAACTGGAAAGTGAGATGAATTGGAGAATTTTTCCAGTTCAGCTATATTGTCCTACATTGTTCACTTCTCCTGCCTTCTCCAAACTCTTCACCTTTTTGTGAATAACCCTGTTTGTGAGGAATGTGGGTAAGCACCAAGAGAGTGTGTGCAAGTTAAGCTGGTCATACATGTTTAGAGAGAAAACCGCTGGTTCCCCTATTTACGCTAAACAGTGTGAATGGAAGAATCATCCACTGCCGGCTACTTGAACACCCAAACAGTGCCTGCAGTTGATTGGTCACAGTCACTATTTGGCAGACAATTTTCCACCCAGCTTCTATGATAGTTCAGTTGAACTTTGTTGAGTTAGGTGGGGCCAACAGGGCCGCCCATGGCTTAAATTTCAGCCAATTTACAGGAATCGGCCAACAGAGGGAGTGGAATGTGGAGAATTCTTCTGCATGATTGGATGTTTGAAATTAGAGATGCACTGATACCGAGTATTTGGGCGAGTACTCGTACTCGCCCAAATGCTCCGTTACCGGAACTTCCAGTCAGAGGAAAATTTCCTCTGACCAGCAGTGCCGTAGGGGAACATGGAGTCGGCTTCCTTGGAAATCAGGAAGCCAGGTGGCGAGTAATGACCTTGACCAGATTGGCTGGGAAGCCAGCTTCCCGGCCAATCAGCATCGAGTCAGCCGAACAGCCAACACCTTGCTGATTGGCTGGGAAGCCGGATTTCCAGCCAATCAGAATGGAGTCGGCTTCCAGGCCAATCAGAAACCCGGGAGGCGGGTCATTACTTGCCGCCCAACTTCCTGATTGGCCAGGAAGCCAGCTCGATGCTGATTGGGTGGGAAGTTGGTTTCCCAGCCAATCACAATCAGCATTGAGCCGGCTTCCCGAGCAATCAGGAAGTTGGGCGGCAAGTAATGACCCGCCTCATTACATGCTGCCCGGCTTCCTGATTGCCCGGGAAGCCGGCTCCATGCCAGCGGAAGCACCGGTACTCGATACTGAAAAACCGATATCAGTGCATCCCTATTTGAGATGAAAACAGGTTCGCTTAACTTAAAGAAAGGTTAAAT